CTCGCCGCTTGCGTGCATAAGGAACGAGGCAGCCACCTTTCTTCGTTGCTGGATGGCGCCAACATTGGTTTGAACTGTAACTTAAAATGCCTCAGATGTACGGGTGTACATCTCCAAGGGATTGCCTGACACCCTCCCAGAGCTGGTGGAGGGCCTCTCAACAGATTTAGAAGGAGGCCGATCTGTTCGAACATGCTTGACTTACGTAGTGTCGATGAGCTGTTTAGGCGATAACGCCAATTGCGCACCCCCACTTGGGCACAGGAAGTTTACCCACGGTGGACATCGTCCTGTGCCGGGCAGAGGAGCGCAGACACAAAATGTGGAGCTTAGCAGATACATTGCGAGTACATTGCGATACCTTTCGTGTTTTCTTCGAAGTCCAAAGGTGATGATACACTCATCTAGTCCGTTATCTATCTTAGTGTCGACTTCTGGCTGATGGTGCAGATCACACGTTGTCATGCGGGACACGACTAAGTACCACTGGATGCATTCCGAGACGGGCATTCAGAAGTCGGACAAACTTTCAACCATGTGCTGCAGACGTACTTGTTCTCTATGCAGCCCATGTGCAGACTTCTAAGCTCCTTTTCCTAGACATGGTGGGTTTTTGTAGTCGTGTACTGTTTTTCGTTTGCAGGCTTCTCGTCGCTTCATGCGGGTGCTTTGCCGACACTTGCCCGAGCAGCAGGCTTGGGGCGGAGTGTCGCCGCTTGAGTAGCCGAAGTATACTATGGCGCGACATGCGGAGGCTAGCCCTCTCCAGCGGCGGTTGCTAGAGTCCGTGGCACTGAGCTCTTGCAATGTTCTGTCCAACTGCATCGCGCAGCTTGGCTGAATCCACCAAGCTGCCGTCACGCATTCGGGATGCAAGGGCTGCAGGCTGCTGAACCTGAATCGCCCACTATCAAATTACTCTTGCTCTTTGGCATGGACACAGACCTCTGAGATTGGTGCCTGGCGTGCTGCCACAAGCCGCAGAATCCAGTTGGAGCTTTTGTCGTAAGACAATGCCGGCTGTGTCTTGGCAAATCTGCTGGTTCGAGCCCTTACCACGTCACGCCCATTTGGCACTGCCATAATATATATATATATACATATATATATATATATACATATTATGCCTTTTGCACTAGTCCACGGCTGCTGAGGTGTGCCGTTGCGCATCTGGGGCCGACCCTGACCTTGTAAATTCGGAGGCTGCTGAAGTCCTCGCACTCCAGGACAGCTTGCAGACAGTCTTGAGCCTTGTAGGCTAGACCGGGGCAGGCTGCAGTCTTGATGTGGAGAAAAGTCTGCCGAGAGGCTCTCGAGTCCTTGGTTGAGTCCTGCCCGGACGAAGAGGCCAAGGGAAAAGCGAGTTCACAAAGCCGGTCTGACGGTTCAACTAATGTGGCCGGCGATGCAGTGAATTGTGCCGAGGTGTCGTCCCTGCTGCAGACACTCAGACCGCGAAGTGCAGCGCAAAGGCCATGCTGCTGAATGCCGCTGAAGTGAACCGAGGAATTTCCGAGATACTTTCGGGCAGCTGCTCAGAGGCCGAGGCCCAGGTTGAACCGCTTTCGGCTTTATGCAGCGGCGGGGGTGCTCTACCTGACGAGGGCAAAGCTCGGCGGGCGATCGTGCCAGCCGAGGGGCCGCAACATGCTGGGCCTCGGCCACTGCTGCGCCTCGCCGGACAGCAGTGGACAGCACTCCTTCGTTTTCGCCCTGGAACTGAAGAAAGGCGCTGCTTCGGCGACGGGGCAGTTGTTCTGAGCAGGCAGGCCATATGGGCATGAGCCATGGAAGAGGAGAGGACGGAAGAGATGATGTTTTTTTTGGCACTCGTGTTCCGAGGCCGGCAGCTTCTTGGAAGCTTTGCTGCTGGCGTTGGACGAAGAAGCGCCTGTCGGGCCGTACGTTCCGGAAGCATTTCGGGTGCTGGCCCCGGTAAAGGCCTGGCGACCGCCGACCGCTGAAATGCACCGAAAAGCTTGCACCGACCGCAACAAAGCCTGGAGGTGGACTCGTCCAAGCCAGGGAGAGCGCCTTGGATAACATCCTACCCAGTGGTTCAAAGATGAGCTGGCGACATGCCACGGGGCTCCTTAAAAAGGCATCGAAGGCTGTCCCAGTGCTTGATCTCAGGATGCTCTTCCACCGATCGCCCTACAGCAGCTCCTCGGATGAATTTGTGGTGGTGGTGGTGGTGTCGGTGGTCATTTCAGCTGGCGGCAGTATCGATGTCGTAGCATCAGGCTCTCGCGAACAGTTCTGCCATCTTTGGTGTCTCGAGCGAAAGCCAGGATCTTAGTCCACGTAGTGCGAAGCGTGAAAGTAGACGGAGGAGCCCACGAAGACTCTGCAGTAATCGTCGTAAGCCGCCCCAGAACATGCAGGACGTGAAGGTCTGTGACGGTCTGTGATACTGAGGCCTTGGGCGGGGCTGCATGGACCCGGCGAGCAGCTTTGGAGAGCGCTGTGGCTCTGCTGGCATCGCTGTCTGTCGAGGCCGCTGTTGCCAATGGGCCATGCTTCAGCTTTGGCTACATACTGACTTGGTGCGAGGTTGCCTGCGCCGATTGCAGAAGCTTTGGCTCGAATGGTATTGTGGTCAGTTGTGACGAACAAGCCAACGTCGACCTGACACCCGAGGTGACGAACTGCGGTGGTGTCTCAGGCTCAGGCATTAGATGGCCAAAGCAAATCGGAACAGAGAGGCTCGAATAGTCCTAGGGGGGGGGCAGCGGGCAGCAGGCGAACCACACTTGCATGTCCCCATGAGCCACGCGATGCTTATATGCCTAGGCACACTGACAGGGCTGAAGCGCTTGAAAGAAAGCGCAGCAGCTGCGAATGCTGAGCAGGAGCGTGCAGCGCACGTCGCATGACATCTCAGTGACAACGAAGCAGAAGCTCCCGTCCAGGCTGCCATCTTTGCAGTTCAGGTTTTGCCTCTCGGCACCTCATGAAGTGTTCTGCTGAGAGCAGAAGAACAGCAGAAGCCTCGCAGCTCCCAGGCAGCTTTTGGTGCGTGCTATCCAGCGGAAAGAATCCTGGGTGGAGGACGAGCTCCACTCCATAGTGTGGGGCTTAGCATGGCTTAGCCGATTGCCTCGTGTTGGTTGGCAGCTGATGTTGACAGTGGTGGTCGTGGTGCTGGTCAATTTCCTGCAACTCACAGCATTGTTCCCAACACAACCGAGGAGCCTTGCCTGCCTTGTGCGAGAGTGAGCGTCGAACACAACCGATCCATCCCAGAAGCAAGCCAGGTCCGGTGAGTCGTGCTGTCTAGAAATTGTTACAACACGAAGTCCATGCTGAGGGCATCCTGCTACTTCACCGGTGTCCGGCGCCGGTGCATGACATGAGAACTTTTCCTGTTAAGCAGTCTCTACCCGAAACGCGTTTATCCCATTCAGAAGTCGTGGACGTTACGATGATGTGGTCCACGCAATTTCTCCGAGCTTCAATCGCAAATCCACCCTGGCGGCTCCCAAGCATTCCCACCTCGCCTGAACAAAGGGCAGGAAGCTGCCGTCCGTAATCTCATGGCAGCTGGAGATGCCAGCGTTTTCGGAACCACGAGATTGCATGCTCCGTTTGCTTTGCATAGCCCTCCCTGCCTCCTTGCCAGCAGTAGCTTGATGTCGTGGCAACATGGCACTTGCGGTTTTGCACCTTTTTGGGGGGACGTCGTTGTTGTGCCTTTCAAGCTTGCTGAACAGCTAGTGACGCCGCTGCAGGAAGAAGGCAATGCCTATGCCAGGTACCTGTAGGGACCCTTCATCCTCGAGCACAAACGATTGGAAAGGCAACGTATCCTGTGTCCCCATTCACACAGCTCGAGGCAATCAAGTGCGGGAAGAGTGGACAGCCTGGCTTGTTGAACTTAGCAAGCACCACATATGACAATCTCCTGATACTAGTATCTCCTTCATGAGATCTTCATGGCTGTGTTCGATTGCCTGCTGCACCATGGCCTTGGCGATTACACGGCCGGCTTGCTGCATGTCATCGCCCATGCGGAGCCACGCACGTGCTTCGCCTTGGCTTACACATGTCTCTACAAAGCAAAGTCAGGGCATGAATAACACACAATGCACACTTCACGCGCCTGTGGCTTCAATCTGCAGCTGCAAAGCAAGCAAGTCGAGTTGGCCGAATTCTGGGCCAAGATGCAGTTTTGCATCGCACCAGGCGTATTCGTGTTTCGCGTCGGCGCAGCGACACTGCAAGATGCAGCTTCTCAGCTTCGCATAAGCCCCTCAGCACCATCAAAGCTCAGGTCGGTCCGCTGTGTGAGCTTTGCGGTGCTCACTGCAAGCCTTTGGCGGCTCAGCTCTGAAATCCTTGTTGACATTGCCCTGGCACAGCTCCGCCACGGCTGTCATGCAGGTACGGCTCGGCTGCTTTCAGGTCCTGATGGCCTTGATCCAGCAGGAGCGGCAGACCAGAAGATGGCAAGAAGCCTTGAAGTTGAGACCAGCTAGCGCATCAGCATTTGCACGTGATGAACTGAGTTGAGAGCGCCAGGCTTTCGGCCACCTAAGTCCTTTCAAAAAGGAGATTCAGGCATGGATCTTCGTGCATTCGTGCGTGCTTCATGCTGGGTTGGAAGCATCATGCAGCGCCCATGGTGTGAATAGGCTGGCTGCAAGAAGGGCGTGGAGGATCGATGCCGGGAGGTCAGACTGCTGGCGGTCGCCACTCTAAACACATGGCATTGACGCTTGGATGCATGAGATCGGCTGTTGCCCTGCAAGTGGGCATGCCTCCAGGTCCAGGTTTCTTGGCTTCTACAGATCCAACCACCGAAGCGAATGTTCTGTTGCTGCGAGTCGGCTCATACAGGCATTGGCTCGCAGACCTGAAGGCTCTCGTGCTCCTGTGCTTTACCGCCTTAGACCCGCTGGAGAAAAGATACAAAAGATGTCCTGACTTCATGCCACAAAGGGAGCGCGGGCGGTTTTTTTAAAGACAGTATGAACTGATGAACATTGCCGCTGTTCCAGATCGCAGACGGACCACTCTTCCAAAAGCTCAGCAGTTAGGAGCTCAACTGACGAAACTGGGGGATATTGGGGGATCGTGTGACTGGGTCAGTCTTGTTGAAAGGCTGGACTGTGGAGAAGGTAGTAGAGCTCACTCCACAAGGCAGGGACTTATGTATAGAGGCATGCACCACGATTTGGAGTCCCCAGGAACTGCAGCCGTGGCAAATGCCTGGGCGAAGGTGCTTCAGCTGACTCCAACACACCAATACGGCCTGCCAACACTTATGCTGCTGCTCCCGTGCCAGGGGCTCTCACTCGGTCTGCGCAGGTGACATTTCGTGATGAGAACCTGTTTGCAGCACTGGAGAGTGCGATTGGCCAGCAGCTTATTGCCAAGGATACGAGCTCAAAACGGGAGTGCAGTGCTACTGTGCTGCTCGGAAAGGTCGGAATCTTTCAAGCTTCAAGGCTCAACATGTTGCGAATCTGTTCTTACCTCAGCGGCCGCGAGAAGTTGGCCTGCAGTTTGAAGAACGCTGCAGAATGCTTAGGCTGAATGCATATGCAAAACTGCAGTGGGGCACCCAGTCGCCGATGCAGTCGCAGCCTTTTTTCTGTAAGAGCTCAGATGCCAGGCTAAAGGATGCAGAAGTGCTTGGACAGCTGGTCTCCTGGCCATTGTGCTTTCCGACTTTCGTGCTAGATGTACTAGATGTTCTTGGCAGGCCTTGCAAATCCCAAGCCGGGCAAGGGATTTGGTTCCCATGGAGCCGCTTGGCACAGGTAGTCAGGCAGTCCGACGAGACATGCGCAGAAGCCGACCTGAAGCCGACCAATTCCTTGAGGTTGTCCCAATCTCTTCACGCCCTGGTAAAGCTCGGGATTGTCCCGCCCTCTGACTCTCAGATTCGCATGGTTTCTGGCTAAGCGGCAGCTGAGGCCTCGGAGAATCGGAAAGCTCTCTTCTGCTTAGCGGAGGTTCGAACGGCCTTTCAAGCGCTCCATGCTTAAGCGCTCCCAAGCTCCGCTCCCTCCTTTAGCCGGCTCCGCGATGCTCCGCGGCTCTGTCGGATTCGCAGGCCGTCGAAGAGCGTGCATCGGAGTTCCACAGCCGCCAGCTCGCGCTCATGCCCAAGTCCGCCTCAAACAAGCGCCACCAGTCACGTTTCCGAGCGCTGGCTGCAGGGTCTCAATGCATGCCTTCAGCATGCTGTCCACCAACCACGGGAAGATGTTCCAAAGCCTGGCTCCGCAGGCCTGCGCTGGAATTGGATGGATATCATCGGCAGATACAGCAGTTCGCAGAACTAAGCAACAGGTCCACAGCATGGGGAAGCCAAACTTGTTGTCTCAGCCGGGCAGGACAGCTGCGGATAGCTGTGCTCAGTGGGCCGTGAGATCCTAACATATGCTACGGGGTGATTGGGCAGCAGTGGTCCAAGATGGTACCAGTATGAGTGGTATGTCAATCTTGATGGAAGAGTAAGTCGGTGAATGGGCTCCCGTCACAGATCCCTTTCTGCCTCACATGTGGGTGCAGAGACACCGGGACCGTCAAGGACGTCAAGAATGACCAGAGCGTAAACCTGTGCAACGCGGTGGTGGCCAAAAAACTAACCCAGTGTGGCTGGCCAACCCGTCGAATGCGCCCAGTCGTGAGTGTCAAGACGCATGGTTTTCGGTACTGCAGCCACTCTACCCAGTGGTTGAAGCGGAGCTGAGTTGGAGGTAGTTCTCATCGGACTCCACGTTGCCATCTAACAACTCCTTGTGTCCAGGATGCGGTTTGAAAACAAGCAAAGGCGAGGTTTTAAGGTGAGAGTCTAAGTTTAAGGCCAGATACGGCCTCGGATCGTTCTGCAACCAGCTGCAAGTTCACTGATGCTTCTGCAATGCATGGACTTTGGGAATGACTTCTGGCTTCATCCGTTCTGCCTGGTGAAGTGCATGGTACTGGCACCCAATAGCTGCAAGGGTTCTCCTAACTGGCACATAAGTTTGCATTGCTTGGTGGAACTTGCGGGGCCTTTGCGATTCTTTTTCGGATGACAGGTGCTGGCCACACTGGGCATGGCCCGCCGCTGAAGCTGTGGTTCTCTCGATGCGTCTCGAGAATGCGCGAGACATGCGAGGCAGACGACCAAAGCGTCGCCATGCTGTTCTGCCGCTTGGCTTGGACAGCCTGAGCGCTGTGGTTGCCACCTGTCGTTCGAGAACTGACATGCCACGTTTTGTTTGTAAGGTGCTTATGCCCGGTCTGGCCAAGTTCATGAGCAGGCATGTTCGAGTAGTTGCTGCCTGCAAAATCTGCGTGGCAGTACCGTGAAGGTTTGACTTGCTCTTCAGGTAATTCGAGGCTTGATGGACAAGCAGAGCTCTCAGTGGTAGTCGTTCCGCGTAGGCTGAGCCGATCAGCATGCAAAGGAGCAACATTCCTGATGTTTAGATGAACTGTGGAACTTCCCAGGTCAGGTAGCTGCTCCTGTGACTCTAGACTCTATTGCTCGCGCATGTGGAAATTATTTTCATCGCCGGCCTGTCAGCGTTCCTGACTGCTCGAAGTAGCGAAGAAGTGAACCAACCCGACTGCTAATTTTCACGCTGTGACGCTTGGCAGCATTGGCTGCAAATGGCCACCAGGGTGCGCTGGCTTTGCAAGGGCTCCGCAGGACATGCGAAGGGGTTTATGCTACATACTTGTATCACCGAGGAATTGCCATGGGCTGCAACCAGAGTACCGAAGGTGGAAGTGCTGGCAGGGAGTCGAAGGCAAATGTCGATGAACAAACCTACATGCTGCTTGATTCCGGTTTATGCTCAGTTCCATTAGAGGCTGGGCATTCCCTCTGTCTGGACACTTTGCATGGTGTGTCATTTGAGGTTCCTTTGCAAAGTGAAGCTGCTGAAGCGTCTGCCCCAGGCATGTCCTAGCTAGCCGAGACTTCAGCGACATTCACCTGCTCCTCGCATGCCAGATGTTATGGGCGACATGTATCATGGATGTGCAGGACGAGCTTCCGGCCCTCGCGAAGTCGGCGACGGAAGTGGAGTTCAAGCCCGGTCAGAGCATCATCAAGCAGGGGGAGGAAGGCAATGAATTCTTCATGATCAAGCCTCTCGCCAACTTCTACGTTCGACCGGCATCGCTGCGCACGTGGTAAATGAATGGTCTCGTGTAGTCTCCGCGTGTGCTGCATCGCATTCGAGGAAGGGCACGGCTGATGTTGAGATCAACGGAAAGAAGGCGCGGTGTTGTTAGTACATGTCAGGAGGACCCCCGCGCAACTACCAGGCGCATGCCACAAGACCACGAGCGGTGAGGGCTCCTCCACGATTTCAGCTGGAATCGCGGGACCCAACTGAACCCTGAACACGGTGACCCCCAAGCCCAGCCATGCAGGAACTCTACAATGTACAACCCGCAAAAACAAGTAGGGCCACCAGGCCCACCGTTGCAGGAAGGTTGGCTGCTTGTGTGACCCGAGTTGGCGCGGCTCGCGCTCTCTGACAACACCGCTTCTTTGCAGGTCGCTGGGTTGAAAGCCGGCGATTACTTCGGTGAGAACGCGCTCTTGCGGAACGAGCCACGCAACGCGACCATCAAGGCTAATTCCCAGGCCTCAGCCTCAACAAAGCACAGATGCTTCCTGCAGCCTTCGGGGCTCTGATTCTCAATGTTGCTCCCGTGCCATGTGGCAGGTGGTTACTCTGAAAATCACGAGGCAAGCATTTTCCAGTGACTTGGCTCGAGCAATCTTGAGAGACTGGCGCAGAATGACGGTTCTTGCGCCCGATGCCTGTGGCCGCCTTTGTGCGTCAAGAATCAATCCAAGGCCAAAGGCCCGAGGTTTTCGATCGGAACTGAGTCTCTAGCGGTAGCACCTGAAATTGGATACAAGTACCCTTCAAAAACTGAACCGGGAACGAAAGTCTGCCTTCAAGAAGGACTGAGGCACCAGCGTGCTGCCAAGCAGAGGGCACTGTCTGCATGGTGCCATCGCCGTGTGAGTGCTGGGTTCGGGGCAGACTTCATGCTTTGCCGCTTCGCACTGCTTTGTCTCCTCTCTTCGAACAAGTCTGTGCCGACTTCTCGGAGCTCTGAGCCCTTCTTCCCCAGCCTCACTTCACATCCGCACAGCGTCGTCGCCGTCGTCAGCGTGACTTCTGTATTTGCCAAAGCTAAGCTGCAAAGGGTCGCCTGTAATGGGTCATTTAAACGTCGGGACATGCCGAATGCCCGATCGAAGATGTCTGGTGTTCGTCTTGCCCGACTGTGTAGGCTACCGCACTTCATACATCAAGCTCAAGTTGATGTTTTCGATCATGCCTCTCTTAGCTCTGCGCTCCCGAGGTCTAGGCTTGCAGGACAAGTTGGAGTTCCCCAAGCGCGGAGCCGTTGGTGGCGGAGTTGCCGTCCAGGCCAGGTCTGGCGAAGCAAGCTTGACCCAGAACGGCTAGGTTCGCACAGAAGCAAAAAGGTCTCAGTGGAAGAGAACGGCTGCCGATCCCGGCACGAAGCCCTTCCATCCCGTCCTGGCAGGCCGACATCAAACCGCCGAGCCAGAAGTCTTCTGATGACGTTGAGCTTCCTGGACCAGACAATGCGTGTTCAGATAAACCCAAGAACGTCACAGGGAAGCTACCGGGTGCAGTCGTGACGGCATCCAGGCTCATCAAGAAGGCGCTGCAGGCCAACACCAACCTCAACACGATTGCAAACCTTGACGAGGCACTGCATGATATTCCAACGTATGCAGCATTGCCAGCATTGATTGTGCACTCCAGGCTCGCATAAAAGCGATGTCCGACGTGATGTGGAAAGAGCCCGTGGCCAAGGGCACTGCCATCATCAAGCAAAACGATTTGCAGGCCTTCTCATGCGGTGACGAGGAAACACGTCCCTGCATCCCTGAAGCGCTTCTTGCAGGCAGACTATTTCTACATCGTGAAGTCAGGAAGCTTTTCCATCAGCAAGGCGGAGGACGTCAAAGAGGGTCAAAGCTCTGTGGCTGCAACCGGAGATGGAGGGAATGAATTATGCCAATTCACTGCTTTTCGCACCCTCCGCAGCCAACCTCAAATGCTTACGTGAATTTGCATCCTTAGCCAAGGCGTGGAGTCTGCTGCTGCTGCACAACTGGGATCGGTGGAGGCCAGCACTTGCAGATCCAGCTATGGCAATGGGTCAACCAGCCACGGCCCACGAATGTCGGGTAAGCGTAATTATGTCAAAGCACGTGGCCGACAATGCTTCGGAAATTCCGAACTTTACACCTTCAGTCGCGCACCCTAGCCGCTTGCTAGCCCAAGCCAACTGCTCCTCTTTTTACGGGCAGTTATATCGAACCTCTCCATCTCGTTATGTCTGTCGCGGAGCAAAATCGAGACGCTGAAGGTTTCTGACACCTTCTCGAAGTGCACACTTCAACCCCCACCTTGCACAGACAGACCTGAAAGCATCCCCCGCCAAAGCAACCCTAATTCTGCCCTTGATGACCCATGCTTGGTGGCATGCAGTGGCAAGACTTTCGGAAAAGAGGGCAACCAAAGCAGTGCACATCCACATGCGACTGACCTGGCCTCCCGCATGAAAGGCTGCAGGCCATGTGGGATGTGGCAGTAGTTAGTTTGTATTGCACAGTTGATTTTCGGCACAGGCTGGAGGCAGCTTCGGCGAGCTTGCTTTGCTTTACTTCGCACCCCGCGCAGCTTGACATTCGTGGCAGAACATGTTGGCAGCATGCTACATCACGTTTCGAAGATCCCCTTCCTTTTAATATAGGCTAAGAGTGATTTAGCACTCAAGGCTGCAACGATCACGGCGAACGTCGACTCCGAGGTTTTCGTGACGGCACGCCAACAATTCAAAGACGCTTTGTTGACATCCTCGACTGGACATGTGCCTGGAAAGGTCCCGAGGTGCTTTCACAGGTCTGCACTTGGCTAAGGAAATTCTTCTTCGCGCGAACGAGGCAGAAACCAAGCAGAACTTGGACTATGTGGGCCGTTGCGAGGTGCTGCTTGACTGATGTATCACGCTAACTCACGCAAACACGCACTGCGGGTTTGACGTGACGAGCTGTGATCTGCTCAGCATCGAGAGCCGTGGAGTTTCTTTGCATTGTAGCTGCACGCTGCGCATGCATGGTGGGACCGCTCAACTGCCAAGAATCCAGGTGCACGCTACCAAGCACACCACGCTGCCTTGAAATGCCTTGACTTGCCAGCCCGCCAGCACGGCCTCGCCGCGCTCAGTTGCCACACCACACCGCACCCCCAATGCACTGCGCCACAGCCATCACTTCCTCAAAACACCTGCTAAGTGTCAGGTTTGCTGAATGCCCACCGCACATTCCTCAACATGCTGCTACCAGAGCTGTAGCACAACACTCCATGGCCTGATATGCCTGACAGCGAGTATGACTCGTAGGACACATGCCAGCAGCAACAGAATGCGAGCCCGTTTCAAAAAGCGCTGCAGGCATCCTCTCTCGCTATCTCGCGCTTTCGTTTCGATTCGCAGAAATTCGCAGCAAGTACTGCATGTCAGAACATAAGTTGGCGTAACATCGGTAACATTTTGTCGCAAGAGTTGCTACGACAGAGTAGCAAAAACAGCGAGGCGACATGACACGACGGTTCTGCAACAAGCGGCCAAAAGCCAAGGTGGTGACCTCAAAGGCATTCCCTCGAGGGTTCTGCAACTTTTCATACCACGGTATACCCGCATATCCTCGTATACCCTTCCGTGAGACGGCAACCTGCCAATCCGCCAAAAGCAAAGTGCTTCATGTCGTCACACATCGCGAGTCAAAGTGCGACTGCAGGTGGCTCGGCCCGCCATCACACTTTCACATTGTACTACAGTGTCGCACATCCTCTTGCATCATACATCGACTACATTTCCATGCGCTCCTTGCCGGCTCCATCGCCATGGATGTCAATGTTCTGTGGGCTGCATACATGCTCAGCAGGTGCTTGCGTTCCTCTCTGGTCCGTTCTGCTTTGTGTGTACGCAACAGTTAGTTAGCCGCAGCAAACCCGTACCGACCCGCCTGGAAGCCTGGGGCCAGTTTACAAGGTGCACACGCAAATATGATTGGCACTACCAGTCATACTGCGGTCTGGGCAGTGACATCACAGCTCCGCAGACTGAGTGTTCCCTCCCCTTCGCGAAGAACTTGACTTTACTTACTCCACCTGGGCAGGTTCTGCTCGGGATGTTTTTGCCCGAAACGCCGGTACCAACAAGATGCGCACACAGTACACAGGACGTAAGACGTAAGAGTCGATGTTCGCGAGACTTGCAAAGATGACGTCAAACACGGCGTGTAGACCTGTATGCACGAGACCTCCGCGAATAATAGAATTGCAACGAATGGCAACCTTTGGATTCTGGTTTCACGCATGTCCCGACGATATCCACAGCAAAGGCACCAGTGCAACTAGACTCCCAGCATCCGTACATGTACCGAGGACTCAGTCCAGCCTCAACCAGCCTGCAAGCATCGAGCCGCCCTTTCCACCAAATCTGAGGTTCTCACAGGCACTGAAGGATACTGAGAAGAAGGAACTGGCCGCAGCCATGCATGAAATGACCTTCAGCAAGGACGAGACCATCTTCGAGCAAGGGGCCACTCAGCTCTGCATATGTACAAGCATTGCAGTCTTCTTCGAGGGATCTAGAAGGGTAGAAGCCTCGACGTGAGTCGAAGACCGAAAAAGCTCAGGAGACAGGCACGCAATTCTTCCTCCTGGTTGAGGGATCCGTGGTTGTCCTGAAAGACGGCAAGGCTGGGCTTCGCAAGAGTGATGACGCACGATGGCGAGCATTATCGTGACTCAGCAGGAAGTTGCCAGCTTGCGAGCCACTCCCGAGAAAGCGCCGTACTTCGGAGAGAAGGCGACATGTCGGCTCCGTGTGTTGCTATGACCACGTAATTTTAACGCTACGCCGCCCGCCTCGGCTGTGTAGCGGCAGGGCGAGGGGGCAGTCGATGTTTTTTTATGCTAGGGCGGCCTGTCAAACCCCAACCTTTACACGGTTGTTGATGGGGAGGCCTGGGAGGGGGGGGAGGCCGACAAATCAGGTAAAATGAGGGGAAGCCGGGCAAGGGGGTGGCAAACGAACGCAAAAAGCGGGTGTCACCAATCATTCGGGCTGCAGGGAGGAGGAGGTAACCACCAAGACGCCTGGGCCTCTGGCCTCGGCGGATTCGGGTTTCCTCGGTAGCCTTTTTGGGCAATGGCACTGCGTGAACTAGATTGTGCAGCCAGTGCAACTTCGGCTCATGCCATCTCCGGCTTGTACAGGCATTGGAGAACCGAGAGCCGCGAGCGGCAACAATCAAGGTCACGTCCAACCGGGCCAGGACGTTTCGCCTCAGCACTTTGTAGTTCGCAGAGAGCTCCCAATAATTGACAGCAGCCGAGGCTCTGGGTGGACAAGGAGACCTTCGAGGCCCGAGTTGAACAGCTTTCACGACATCGCGCTAGGGGGAGTCATCTACTGTAGGACTCCTGCAACGATCATAATCTGCTTTTGCTTCCAAGGTCCTCTTGGGCTCGCTCTCTGAGCTCATCAAGCGTGGAAAAGACGGTGACACCGTGGTAGCCAAGTCAGTGGCACCCACTGCCGCAGCCGAGCCTTTGATCCAGAATGAGGTCTTGCGGTGCATGCGCAAAGACGGTCTAGTATGAACACGAAAACAAAGATGCTTCCAAACCACAGCTCTACGTGCCAGCATGTGCCTACGATCAACCCCAGCCTTCACAGAACCGAGCACGTTAGGCCATTTGATTTGTCGATCTCGGTTGCCGGATTGCTTCAAGTAGCTTGTTACAAGGATGCCAAGCGCTTTGGGGTCATCAAGTTCAAGGATCTCAAGAAGCCACTTGCAAAATTCATCTTGGTCATGGTAGGTCAATGCTTTCGGCCGTGCGTTGCAGATTGCACAGTGCTTGAATGCTAAACCTTACTTGTCCGTTACTGGATTCGTCAGCTAAGGCACGGCTTGTTGGGCTGCGGGGGATTCGGAGCGGTGGAATTGGTTGAAGAGACCAAGACCGGCAACATGTTCGCCCTGAAGGCCCTCAGCAAGGGATACGCCGCTTGGACGCGTCAGCACATCATCGCCGTAATTGAGAAGTGTGCAGCAGGCAGAGGCGACAGATGAACAGGTCACCGTAGAAAGAATCGCTTTGCATCAGGTTGTCAAAAGTGGCATGCAAGCGAGTGTCATGAGCGAGAAGAACGTGCAGCTGACGCTTGGCTAGAAAGTTCACGCCTAGCCGACCCGCGAAAGGCTAAGATGCATCTGGACCAAGGATGTGCGATTCCGCGTTTATCGTCAAACTCCACGAAACTTACAATTCACCGGAGCATCTGTACTTTCTCCTTGAGCTGGCACTCGGTGGTGAGCTCTATGCTACCTACAACAAGAGGAACATGTGGGGCAACGAGGCCTGTGCAAAGTTCTACGTGGCCGGAACGGTGCTTGCTTTTGAGCACCTGCATGGTAAAAAGATGCTCGATCGCACTGTGGTAGGCGCATGACAAGGCCGTGATCTTGTTTTGCGGTGGTTCTCCTTCAGGATTGTCTTCCGAGACCTGAAGCCGGAAAACCTCCTACTGACCGAAGAGGGCAGGGTGAAACTCACGGACATGGGTCTCGCAAAAGTGATTTTCGGCACCTGGGCGTCGGCATTCTTTCACAGGACATGCAGGGACATCGGTTCAAGCTTTTCCCGGTGGTGTTGCTGAGGCAAGACGTATACGACCTGTGGGACGCCGGACTATTTTGCGCCGGAGCTCATTGCATCCAAAGGACACACTCACGCGGTGGATTGGTGGACCTTGGGCATCCTCGCCTTCGAGCTTATGTCAGGCGAGTCGTCGAAGCTTTGCCCGTGCCATAGCGAGTTAGCGAGGTATATTGTGCAACAGCGAGCGCAAGCTGTGTTGCAGGACACCCGCCTTTCGAGTCTGCCACGCCCATGCAGATCTATGCCAAGGCTGGTGGCCGTCATGAGCCCACGGTCAAAGCCCCTCGACAGTCGCGGAAAGTAGCGTTGGACTGGGGATGGGAAGCTGTTTGATTGGCTCGACTTCTGGGACAGGTGCAGAAGGGAATCAATGCAGTGGTGTTCCCAAAGAAACTCAAGGGCGATGTGGAGGCTTTGGTCCAGAGCTCAGCACGGGCCTTCAGCACCAGCGTCTGGAAGTCCGGAAGACTCGGAAGACTGGTCATGTAATGTAACTTTCTAGATACCTGGCCCCCCCCGCCCTAGAAGTTCCCGTGTTCAGGAAGTGTTCACGAGCTGATAACTCTGGAAGCTCAGGTGAAGGGTCTGTGTAACAGCAATCCGACGGAGCGGCTGGCGATGAAGAAAGGAGGCCTGATAGATCCTGACCGGTCTACGTTCTGTGTTTTGACATGAGAAACGACCTGGTGACCGTCTGCATTGTTTGGTCCCGTTTGGTCAGGTATTCAGAACATCAAGACACAGAAGTGGTTTACGGGCTTCGCATGGAGCGACATGGAGAGTCTGTCAATGAAGCCTCCGTACGTGCGAGTCTTAAATTCGCTCGAGCCGGTTCCAGTCAAGCGAGCAGACATGCGCGCGTGTGGAATCCAGGTGCCAACCGTGAAGAGCAAGAAAGACATGAAAAACTTCAGCGCCAACAAGGAGGACATGCCCCCACAGATTCCATACAAGGATCCCAAGACCGGCTGGGACAAAGATTTTGCCACCAGCGAGTGAGCTGGCCACAGGCGCTTTGCTCCTTCTGGGTTTTTGGCGCGAGAGACACTGTAGTACGGAAGGGGCGAGTCGAGCAGAGGGGAACTTCACAATGCTTGCTCCACTCGCAAACCGTCACGTCACAGATTCGCTTCAAGAATGCCTGAAGGTGGCGGGTGCTGTAATGTGATGACATCAGATCGGCGCCGCCATTTCTACGAATGAGAATGCTAGTGCTCGTAGCTTTGGAAGCCTTTATCCACTCGTGGAAGGCTGCTACATACGTATTGAGAATGGAAGGAGACAGGAGATCCTGTAATAGTTGGAGAAAGACTGCATCTTCGCTGCTTGTGCTCCTCAACCCATTCTTGATGACCATGTTCGTGGCATGGGATCATGCAAAGTTTCACACAAGGCAGCTTAGGGCTTAGGCTGAAGGCTGGGCAACAGAACTAGAACATCCACGCCATGTGCATCTCTAATTCCGAGGTGCTCCTTTGTTGTGGCAAATACCGCCTGGTGTGCACTGCTGCCTCAAAGCTAGGCTTAATCGGGGCACGCCGGCCAAGCAGACGATGTTCTTGGCGACGTGTTTCCGGCGACGTTTTACGGCAGCTTTGAAAGCAAGCTGCTCTGAGGCCCACTGGTCCCGAGAAGGCATTTCCTTCAACTGGTTCAGCTTGGCACAGTTTATGAGCCGCAAGGATCTGCTAAACATTTCTTCAAGACTCAGATTGGGCGAATATTGCGCATGTAAAGACATGCGCGGGGGAAATGAGCTCAGTCTCATCTCCCCAAGATGACTTCGGACTGATGACAACTTGGCGTGCTTCGCAACCCTCCAAAAATGTCACGATCTCGAGCTGACGGCCTGCTGGTGCGCACGAAGCACCTTGCAAGGACCACCTCGAGCTGCAAAGTCACACACTTTTGTTTGAAATGTGAACTGCAAGTCAGAATCTGCATCGGAGAGCCGGTGGCCTGCAAACATTCAGGCTGTCGGATGCTATTCCGAATTCGGAACAACAGACGCAGGCAGCGGCAACAGTGCATCGATGTCGATCTTCGCAGGAGCAGCCAACAGCTTGTGCACCTGTTGTTGGTGCAGGTGCAGCTTTTCTACGCATGCGGCCGGCTTGCACTTCACAAGGTCACCGTTGCTCGTTACGGTCGCATCTCCTGATACTGTCCGACAGGAGCCTCTGACGCGAGTGCTGGCCGGATCCTTGCGTGGCAAAGTGCCGAGTTTGCCCCGAACTTGGTCAGATGTGATGAAGGGCACCCAGTACACAAAGCTGAATTCCGATGCTGCAGATCCTCGCAGCACGTGGCCAACTGCCTTCTGACGATTTCCCGCTTATCACTGGCATCCGAAGAGTGGGGGTCACAGCTCGCCGCTTTGCTCCCATCCGTTTGTACTGCGAAGACTGTCAAGGTTTGCGGCACTGCTGGCCGCGCTGCAGGACCGAGTACTACTCCGGCTGTACATGAGAGATTTGCTTTTTGTGCAGGCTCGGCTGTTGAGAAAAGATGTGAATTTCGAAGTGCAGCAACTGGACACGGCCTCAGCGCTTCTTTTAGTTGCGAGCGCACGGCGAGCGGTTCAGAAATGTCGTGCAGGCTCAGAACCAGGCAGTTGCCACTGCTTGCAGGCTAGAGTAGTTCATGCTTGGGTAAGGCACCCCAGGCGGTCTACAGGTCTGTCAGCTGGTGTGTAGCTGTGCGAGAATGTACACACTCCTCGAAACAAGAGGTCTCAATGTTGGAGCTTTGCTCCGAGTGTGTACCAAGGCCAACTCTTTCCATGCCATTGCGGGCATCCACGGTGACGGCGCCAAGCTCCCGGAGTGAATCGCGATCAATATAAGCTTGTCGGAGGAAGCTAGCACAAAAACTATGACATTTTCTCAAGCCTGTTCACACGTAATGACTCAAGAGCTTTCTCAGATGCCGCGCTTTTGGCACACACTGTGGAAGGGAACACCACGCCGTGGGAGGTCTACTCATGTATGAGTTGTCTCCTGCACTCTCTGGCTCCTTGGTACTACACGTCGGAGCTTTGTTTTGTCGGCAATGCAGCCCCCGGCACAGATCTACAAGTCATTCAAAGTTGACAATTGAAGGCATCAATTTGGACTGGTTTATGTACGCTCCGTGTTTTCGACTCCGCACCCCACGTGTTTATCTCGTGGTCATGTCGGCATGTTCGCATCCTTGTGCTAATGCAGTTTCTCTTTCTGCGGGCACGCCTGTTCTGATGCTGGTCCCCTTTCGTGCTGGCGTGACCTTGGTTTAGCCACGCCCCCGGCTAGGCAACCCCTGCGCTCTACTTTGTCGATGAGCGGAAAACGGCTGAAATCGCAGGCTGCTTGTCCGGGCACCATGCATGAAACGGTTGAATCTTGGTGCTAACAGAAGTAATTAGTAGTCGTGGTCGTGGTAGTGTCAGTGGTCGTCGTCGTCATAGTCGTCGTTTTGGTCGCCGTCCGACGCTCTCCACCACGCGTGTGCGCTGCCAGCCGCTTTGCACGCCTCTCGACTGCCCGTGGTTGCGGACCATTTGTCCCCTCGCGACCCTTCAACACCTGACAACAGCAAAAGAAACAAACATAAAAGCAACAAGAAGCCGACGAAAGCGGTTCAAAGCGCAAAAAAACAGCCTCGGACCTGAAAACATGAAGAAATCACGAAGGACAGATCCCCACAACTCTTACGCATGCTTCCTTCAAAGGCGATCCGTTGGACAGGTTCTGCCGGCTGGTGATTTAGCAGAGACGAAACTCTCGGAATCTGCGGCTACAGCTATGATGTGCCTGGAGTATCCTGGAGTAGTGTCCGCTGCCTCGAAGTTTGTTTTGGTAAACCAAACAAACTGCAATGGCAAGGCGCCTGTGCAGCTGCACCCCACTCCTCTGCTTCCACCTCAGAACGCGGGTGCCCTTTTGCGCAAGCGTTCTTTCGCCTTGGGTCCGTCACTCCGTCCGCCAGGCCCGCGCCTGTCCTACAGATCTTGATAGACCAGGTGGAGAAGTCAGGCGTGCGAGAATGCCGCTGCTGATCGCTGCCGCCGGAGCGGTCTGCCAGACCTGCGGCGCTTGCAGGTCCAAGTTGGGCAGAGCATCCACAACTCATGGTCTCGACCCTACTGCCATGCAATGCCATGCAGTCACCTCGCGAAGTCTCAACACGGTCACATGCAGGGTGTCACATGAATATGGCAGACCTAAACGGCCCTGTGACCTTGGCATTCTAGATCATCATCCTACTACCTACTGTAGTCTGCGCAGCCTCGCCGAGGAGACAAGGTACTTTTTGTCCTGCTCGCACTGCTGGCCCGCATGATTCATGACCAAAAACACGCTTGGCCAGCGCATCGCGAATGCGCCGGTTGCTTGAACAGTCGGCAGAGCACGGCTCAAGAGCGTTTCTATTTCACTTCGTGCGACAACTGCAAGACCGGATAAACATTTTACGATCAGTGCAACATGACCAGTGCCGTGATGCGGCACATGCTGCGAGCAGCGCTTCCGTCAGCTGCTTAGCTCTCCTAAGCTGAAGCTCAGCAGTTCGCTTGCAGGAATACGTGATTCCTCAAAGCACGCCTGGACCAATTCAACACAAGGCGACTTCATGGGACGCCACGGCTCAAGATGCTTTCGCTGGGCGATATGCGCAAGACCGACAGCAGCACGGCTGCACTCCCGGACTTACGCCATTTGTGTCACAGCCCTTGGTTCATGGCATACCCTTGTGACAGGTGTTGGTGTTGGTGGTTGGCGTTCGCGAAGTGTCCAGACATCAGTGCTGCTAGTTCGAGTTCCTCACATCTCATCAGATGGGGAGGCCTGAAGGCCTCAGGCTGCCTTTAATAGTGGTGGCAGCAAGCGAAGTCATGATCAGGTGTCTCTTGCGGACATTCTTAGCTTCCTGCACAGTGCATTTGAGCTGCAAGTCGTTGACCGGCTTGTGCACACACACACATATGCACTTCACAGCAGTGGCAGGCAAATAGAGCCTCGTATTTGGAAGTTGTTGACAACCGAACATCCAAGGAGGTGGTGGGCAGATACAGCGGCCCCAAGCCTTAGTCGCCTTACTCGGCACATCATACACACAGAGTTTCCTTGTCTGGAACTGTGACTGCACAAACTACGAACGTCAGATGTGCCCAAGACGTCAGCTCACTATCCGATAGAGGTGAGTCCCCGTCCGACTTGGCTGAGCAGATGTTTTTGATGGAGCAGGCCTTGTATGAACGAAGCAAATACTGTGGAAGTCTTGTCCAGCACGGCGTCACTTCAAAACTAGGCATGCTTGGATCCTCACGAGACTATGAGGCCAGCTATCCGATGCAGCAACAGCCTCCCCAAGCGACATACACTTGCAGGAGTGCTGTTGGACCGAGGCTAGAGGATGCTGAAGAAATGCTGGAGCAACTTGGGGACGCTGGGATGAAACGTGGCCTGACAGCCCTCATCTGCACCGGACCACCACGGTGTTGATCCGAGGCGAGCGCTGAGGGGTTCCAGGATTACCTGAAAGCACGAGCCGCTGTCAAGCAAAGTTCGGGCATAGAAGTGCGAAGCGGCAGCACAGCCCAGGTACATGGCGCGGAGACTGAATCTGTTGCCCTGTCTACTGCAGACGCGAAGAGCGGGAAAGGATCCATGAGGGAATATGAGGGACACGAGGAGGGTCGTGCACAAACCCGACAGAAACTTGAACTCGATTCGCAAACATGTTCGCTCCGAGGCTTCCGTTGCAGTGTCCTGCGCTCGACTACAGCGTTGGCCTTAGAATGCCGGGCTCACCAGTGTGTGCACAAACGAAACTAGCAACAAAGTGATATTGCTATCTGCAGTTGTATAAAAGCGAGTGAAGAGTAGTATTTTGCTACGCCTGGCGATGCGAGAATGCTCTGTCGTGACATGGCTTGCTTCAGCCCGTAACAGTTAAGAAGCACACCCGCATGAAGCACGTCACTGGAATCAGGGAACCTTTGAAAAATTGCCGACTGCAAGGTCATGAGGATATGAGTGTTTGAGTACTTGGAGCAGGAGAGAACAGACCACATTGCCGCTCTGAGTTGTTGAGTGAGCATGAAAGTTTACGATTTCAAGCAGCTGCATGTCGGCTTGGAAAACTACCAGTGAAATGTCGGCTTGGGAAAACTATCTAATGGAAGTTATCTACAGCGACGGCGCCGCTTCAGAAACAATCATTGTTGGGTGAGGGATGGTGAGGGTACCCTCGATTCCTTAATTTTGATGCGCACTTGCGTCACCAAAACAAGAGATTTCCAGATTTGGGGGTACCCCGGATTTCTTAAGTGCAATGTTTCTGGAAGGGCTCCAAAAATAGCCAAGCAGAGTTCAACAAGTACGGTGTACGGAGAGTACACCGGAGGAGTTGAACAGGATGCTTTTCCGAATTAGGTAAATGCGCTTGAAGGCTCAAGCACGGCATCCTTAGAATCCTCCATAAGCCATGCTCGAAGCTGCGTCGAGCTTGCACTCAGCCCTTGGGCACGGCCAGAACCCCGCAACATAAGAAATTGAACCAATCAATTCCTTAAGCTTAGAAATCGGCTCAGTTTCTTGTTCTGTAGTTAATTTTTTTCTTGTTGAGAAAGCGCATTAAGTTAGCATTAAGCCCGAATTATGGTCTTATGCAGCCTTTCTAGAGCCTTCTGAGCCCTGTGCGATCCGTCATGAGGGCCTAATGTAGCCATTGCGAAACCCTTGTTCGGCGCACCGAAAACCCCCTAAAACACTAAATCGAGCCCTTCAATCTCTTGTTGTGTGTTGCGGGTTCTTGTTGTCTACCCCAGCCCCTCAGTTTCTTGAGAACGAGCGAAGAAAAATCCAGAAGAGCCACTAAGATATTGGCATGTCGAGGTCAGGGAAGCCTGATTTTCTTGTGTTCAAGCTGCGGATGTTTGGTTCATTTTGTTGGCTCAATATCAAAAACCAGGCTCAAGCAGCGCTGTCGCTATGCGTTCGCTACGGGGAAGTGTGCAACCGGAAGAACTGTCACAGGCAGAGTAAACAGGTAGGTGCGACTGGATAGGTTTTGAAGCAAGAATAATAATGAAGGCGGAGCATGAGTAGATTGCACGAAGCACTACCTGGTGCACAGAAGGTGTTCATGAGGAACATCCGGGTGGCTTCTCTGCACATATCTCCTTGCAAACTCCCATGCCCAAATTGCAAACATGTCCGCCAGAGAGCTTTAGACAGACTTGTAAGACTGGAGCTGCGCTAAGCAGAGTTTGCTTACACACGATCCGTCTTCAGAGCTGTGCAGTACTGAGCATGTCTACTTGGCAGCAAGGTCGCCAGCTTGTTAATGAACAGATGCCGAGTTGTTACGCTTACTACGACTAGTGACTAGGAGGTTACGACGAGACTTCTAACATGGTTAACAGAAGGGAGTCCTTTCTCGGATCATGCGATAAAGTTGGAACGATACAGAGAAGATTAGCATGGCCCCTGCGAAAGAATGACACGCACAAGTCGAGAAGTGTACCAAGTGCCCAAAACAGGCTTAACACCAATATTCGAGAAAGCTGTTTAACGAAAGACTGCCTGTATTTCTCTCGCTTGCATATACACACATGCATGACATGACAAGAAGCTGTTCGCTGATGCTGACAAGGAAGAAAGCATCAAATGGCACGGCAAGTGATACTCAGGCACTTGAAACATGACCTACGAAAGCCAGCTTACATTCTCTAGGCTAGGGTTGCTAAGTAATCTCGAAGGATGTAAGTGCACGAACTGTGGTCAGCAAAAGGGCACGAAAATGCAGCCGCTAGTAGTGCCCGCGGCATTGGGCCGAGAATGCCACCAAAAACTACTCGTATTTCTAATTGGGCTGACTAGACTCCGATTGTGCATGGCATCAGACATTCGTCGTTCATCTAAGAACTTGGTGGTAGTCCCTGTCGTCGTAGCAGGAGCAGTAGTTGTAGTAGGACAAGTCTTACCCGAGGACATTTCTGCACTTTGCACTTTGCCCGTTCGAGTCAGAGACTACGGAAATTTCATACCCTCGATTTATCCAGGGTCCGGAAGGGTGGCCCTGGGTACCCTTGGGAACAGGGTCCGAAAGGGTCGCCCGACCCATTCGGACCCTACCTCAGATATTAGAAAAGCAAGCCAGTTAAAACCAGATTTAACTTGCCTGCGGTAGTCCTGCGGTATCACCGCACCGAAAGAATGCCTTTTGGGGGGTGGCTGACGGGGGGGGGCACTAGGCATTGAAATACCTTGTAGACCCCCGGAGTGCCTTGTATGGGGGTCATAGAATATGAGAGAATAGGTGTGCTGGCGAGTGGTACAAAACATTTACCCTGAAAACCTAAACCCTGAAACCTATACACCAAAATCCAGAGACATCCAAAAACCTCAAAATCCAGAATCCTTGGAAGAGCCCCTGAACCCACAAACCCCTAAACCCAGAAATTCTTAACCCTTATGTCGCTTATGTCCCGCAGTAACCCAAAACCCCAAGCGCAGAAACCCTAAACCCAGAAAGCCCTTGAACCCAGATACCCACCAAGCCCCCAAACGCAGAAGCATTGTACCCAAGCGCCTGAACTCAGAAACTGAAAACCCAAAACCACTGAACAGAGGAACCGCTGAACCCAGAAACCCTAAACCCAGAATCCCAGAAACCCTGAGCCCATATCCCAGAAACCTTAAACCCAGATCCCAGAAACCCTGAGCCCATAGCCCAGAAACCCTGGCATGAACAGCCTGGCTTCAAGTGAAATCGGCTTGAAGTTGATCCTGTATGTTCGTCCTTAATCGCTACAGACCTCGCCAGGCTTGCCCGAGTGTGAGTGTCAAAACCCAGAAACCCAAAACCTTGTACTCCAAACCCTTGAACTCAGAAGCTAACAACCCAGAACACCTAAACCCAGAAGTTCTGAACCCCCAAATCTGCGAGTAAGCCCAGAAACCCTGCACGCAGAAACCCTAAACCCAGAAAACTCCTGAAGCCAGAAATGCAGAACCCAGAAACCGCAAACCCCGGAAGCCGCAGACATCATAACCTGAAACCCAAAATCACCGAACCGAGAACCGCTGAACCCAGAAACCGCAAACACCCAAACACAGAAACCCTGTAGAACCCAGAATCCCTAAGCCCTTAAACCAAAACCTTAAACCCCTGGACGCTGCACCGAAGCACAATAGCGGCTTGAAGCAAGTCACATGTCGTGCTCGAATCGAGTGGCCGACATGCCGACGCCACAGGGGCGACGCCGGGCGTCGCAACAGGAATCCACCGAGCGGCGCCCGGCGTCACCCCGCTCCCACAGGTGTGGGCGACGCCGGGCGCCGCTCGGTGGATTCCTGTTGCGACGCCCGGCGTCGCCCCTGTGGCGTCGGCATGTCGGCCACTCGATTCGAGCACGACATGTGACTTGCTTCAAGCCGCTATTGTGCTTCGGTGCAGCGTCCAGGGGTTTAAGGTTTTGGTTTAAGGGCTTAGGGATTCTGGGTTCTACAGGGTTTCTGTGTTTGGGTGTTTGCGGTTTCTGGGTTCAGCGGTTCTCGGTTCGGTGATTTTGGGTTTCAGGTTATGATGTCTGCGGCTTCCGGGGTTTGCGGTTTCTGGGTTCTGCATTTCTGGCTTCAGGAGTTTTCTGGGTTTAGGGTTTCTGCGTGCAGGGTTTCTGGGCTTACTCGCAGATTTGGGGGTTCAGAACTTCTGGGTTTAGGTGTTCTTGGTTGTTAGCTTCTGAGTTCAAGGGTTTGGAGCACAAGCTTTTGGGTTTCTGGGTTTAGGGTTTCTGGGCTATGGGCTCAGGGTTTCTGGGATTCTGGGTTTAGGGTTTCTGGGATATGGGCTCAGGGTTTCTGGGATTCTGGGTGTAGGGTTTCTGCGTTCAGCGGTTCCTCTGTTCAGTGGTTTTGGGTTTTCAGTTTCTGAGTTCAGGCGCTTGTGTACAATGCTTCTGCGTTTGGGGGCTTGGTGGGTATCTGGGTTCAAGGGCTTTCTGGGTTTAGGGTTTCTGCGTTTGGGGTTTTGGGTTACTGCGGGACATAAGCGACATAAGGGTTAATAATTTCTGGGTTTCGGGGTTTATGGGTTCAGGGGCTCTTCCAAGGATTCTGGATTTTGAGTTTCTGGATGCTTTTGCGCAGGCCCCGCGAACTTAGGTAGGAACCCGAGCAAACAACCACGGCCTGGGAAGCTTGAGTGTGCGCCTTGGCCCGAGGCCCGCTGCCTGCTACTTCTGTGAACTTCTGCGTGGGTGCTGGAAAAATATATGCGGAAACCATGCTGAATATCATGAAAACTATGTTGAGCCATACCCAAATTCAAGCCGAGCCCGACGCAGACTCAATGACTACCAGCAGGGTCCGAATGGGTGGGTCCGAAAGGGTCCGGCCAGATCTACGGGAGACCCTGGGAACCACCCTTTCGGACCCACCAAACAGGGTCCGAAAGGGTGTCCCCCGGCCGACCCTGCGTATCTCGATCCTATGAAATTTCTGCACGAAGGAAAATTCACAATTTCTCGACGGAATTCATAAGTTCTCTCGTTGTGCAGAAACACTCTGCATGCAGACCCTTGAAACCCCGGCCCCATGGGTTGCTGATTACGTATCTGCATCCGAGAGTTTGTGTTAGGGTCGGGTGGTTCTCTTTCTGCATATTAATATACAGCTGGCTACGGACAGCTGAAGGGTCCAGGCTCCATGTTGGTTATGCGGCCGGGAGGTGCGGGGATGGAGGTTCTACAAGGGCATTTTGAAGCATTAGAAATACAACCCAAGCGGCTGTGTTCCCATAGACTGCTGGGTTTTTCTGTGTGCATTTTGTCAAGATTTGCATGTGGGCATATTGCATATAAAGAAGTTGGCACGTCGTTGAGTTAGAAGAACACGGATTGCCGCCGGATTGCACTTTGTCCGTTGCAGCGTTGCGCAAAACCGGCTGGTTGCACCCGTCATATCTTCAAGTCGTTTAGCGTTCAAGACAAGGAAACCTAAGTGCATGTGAGAGGAGTCTTCTGGGGTTGGCCGAGTCAGTGGAGGCTTTGTTTGCCTCCTTGCGGTACTTGCGGTCAATGGGCTGCACCCTTCCGACCCGAACAGTCCTCGCCTGCCGAGTCCGAGTTGCAAGAGCTCGAGTGCATGCACACGCGGTCATACTTAGACAGTTTGACGCTACATTTCGCAGTATCAAATTATTCACGTCAAAGAAGAGATTGCCATTGCACTGCTGCTGGTATTGGTTGGGTTTGTTTCTGTACGGAGCTGGGGTCTCATGACTTTGTTTGACCAAATCTTGGAGGTAGTTCTATTTGCGGCTTTCCTCGCTAGCGAGAGCTGCTACACACGAGTAGGTGTTCCACCGATACAAGAGTGCCCGTAGAAGTGTGACTTTGCACAGCTCGAATCCTGCCTTGAATACTTCAGTGTGGATCCAGCACTCCTGAACCTTATTTATGTTGAGAGTACACGTGTAGGACGAAAAAGCCCTTGAAAAAAAGCTCCTCAGGGGTCGCTTAGAACTTAGAAGGACTGAAGGATGGTTACTGTGCATCGAAGCATGTCTCTGATTCCAATCAAGATCCTTTCATGTCATCCATGCGTACTCATATAAAATGCTCGCCGAAACTGCGATTTTATATTTTGGGAAGTGGACCGATCAACAAAATCAGTCGGAAGAGAGTGTTTCAAGAGTGTTATGGATTTCCGGGTTAAAAACTGCAAGGAGCTTTTCACACAAACGATGTTTCGTACTTCTTTAATGTGGGGATGCGCATATTCACCGCTGTGCAAGACGTCGCGTGGGTCGTATTGTAACTGCAAACTAGTTTCACTTGTCCTTCACTCTGCAGGCACAGCTCTGCCGCTTTGTTTTCCCTGGTGAGCAAAACAGCTGGTTGCTTAGCATCAGTGTATATCACTGTTGCAGCTTCGCGGCCATGTACAGTGCTTCTTCGTTGTACGGTAGAAGGCTGTGCGGCTCGGTTTTCAGGTTCGGAGCGGGGCGCGTGCGAACCTGTCGAATCGTAACCTGCCGTATCCTCAGCCTGTGAAGGAACCACCCCGGAGGAGATAACAGAGTTGCGTGGAGCATTAAGGTCGGACCTTCTTTGCGCTTATGCGGCCCAAAGCCCGGACATTTCTAAGGGTTCTAAGGACATAAGCGGAGGTCGGGTCATTACCTTTTTGAGTACAAAGACGTTTAAACTTGAAAGACATGTTGTCCAAATTCTTCGAAGTGGGACGTGCTAGCCAGCACCGGGAACGGAACCTACGAATTGCTTTCCACCCAGTGGCAAGCTGCAAGTCAAGGTTCACATCTGTAGCATGGGTCCATGACGGGCAGTATCGACAAGATTTGGAAGAGACTGTGCTGTTGCTCTTCCTTGCTGCTGCCTGAGCGTATGACACTTTCTGCTTAGTCTGTAGTTAGTGCGGGAAGCAGCCGCGTGGCAAAGCCGAAACATGCTTGCATGCTTTGCAGCATGACAGTACTTCAGTGTTGGAAAGCTCGGACCACATAGATGCCAAGCACTACGTGCGAGTACTAAGACAGCTAGTGCTTCAGAGGTTTAGAGCACGGAAGTGATCGTCCCAGCGCCAGCACGCCTGCAGAGGCTTTGGGCTACTTCGACATCGACCTTTTTTCCTGGGTCCCTCGGTTGCAGGATTGCGCAGCCAGCAGTCGCCAGTCGCGGCTTATATCGGACCAGACGAGGTGCTTGGCCAGTTGGATGCAAACGGCCGCCCTTCCGACATGGGGTTGTGCTGGTACAACACAGGTTTCATGATACGAGGGCGGACTGATGCAAAGACGTGCAACAACCTCAGGTGCAAGCATAAGTCCGGAAGTCGTAAGTTAAGCTTCATCTTGCGGAACGAAAAACTGAAAAACTAAGTCTGTGAGAAGCTTGATAAGCTGCAGCAGACGGCTCAACGTGTCCGAAGCCTCCCTTGGTGCCTGAGCATCGCACAGTTCCATGGGAGCATAGGCAGCATAGGCTTTGCCACAAGGCCTGGAGCCTTTCCCTAGAATCAAGAATTTCGGCGACCATGCAACACCTGGAAGCCGGATCAGACCATAAGGGGCCATGATGTTCAAAAATAAGTGCTGAAAAACATGATGTGGTGGGATATAGAATGAAACGATGCGGATGTATGCCACGCGCTGCTAGCGTGTGTGCCATGGCTTGGGTGTTGACGGCTTTAGGCCTTTTACCAGGAGCCTCCGGATTCTGCTTCATTCAAGAAGCATGTTGTCAACCTTCCCTTGCACTTGCTTGTGCAAGGTAGCATTGTACGGTCTTCTGGGCGAAGCCGCTTCAGCAGTGCGTGATTTCCCGAAGGATACACGGAGCTATGGCCGCGTTGTCCAGATTTCCCAGACCAGCAGTGGAAAAGTCGTTCGTGCCGCCGAGCTTCACGCCGCGTGCGGGGGCGCAATGCTGCCCTGGACATGTACATCGTCGAGATTCCAGAACTTTCAGCGAACATCGTGTGGGGCTGAGACTGGATGATCCGAAGCTTCAGTTGCTGACAGTGTCGGGGATGCGCATTCACATGAGGCAATCACTCCGTGTCCCGGAAAGCGAGAGCGTGATCTGGGCACAGATCTGGATGCCCTGAAGTCTTGGGGAGCACAGGCAGTTGTCACCCTGGTGCAGGACTAACTAGCTACTCGCAGTGATTTGTTTGGAGGACGCATGCTGATGTTGAAGAAGATTCCAGATGCATTTTGACTTCTTGGTTGTCCTCATTCCAGGACGATGAGCTGCGAATGTTAGGAGTGGAGGACATGAAGAACGCGGTGGAGAGCCGTAAGATGACATGGTTCCACTGCCCGGTGCCAGACTTCAGCGCTCCCGGAATGTTTTTTGAAGGCACCGATGCAGACTGAGAAGCCTGTGAGGAGATAGGTAGGGGCTGGTTGCTGTCATTACACATGAACGAAGTGCAGGTTGCTGGGTCCAGCGCGGCGACGGTGAGAAAGTCAGACGGATTCTGCGCAAAGGCGGCAAAGTTGTCGTGCACTGCCGAGGAGGAATCGGTCGAGCAGGACTGGCTCCGAATCTCCAGTGCCACAGAAACTGAAGTCTGTCTCTTGAAGGTACCATCGCCTCGCGACTGCTCATCGAGTTGGGAGTTGCCAGCCCTGAAGCAGCTTTGCGCCGCGTGCGCAGGGCACGCCCTGGTGCCGTGGAGACTTGGGACCAGGACTCATGAGAACAAGGGAGAATCTTCAAGTAAGTTCAGGAGTTTCCCAAAAAAGGCAGAGGGCAAGGCTGCTCAACCTGATATCTAAGTCCTGCTTCCATCATCGGCAGGAGAACCATGTGCTGCAATTGACGGCTGTGAAGGAGTAGAGTGCTTCTACATCCTATGCGCTTAACAAGCTCATGCCGGATGCCGGCTCGAGAGAAAAGATGCAGTGCCGGCGCGTAGTGCCTGTGCAGGTGTCGGCATCTTTGAGTTGCAAGACTTGAAAGCAAAACACGATGACAGGTCTGGCATCGGCTGGGGGCCAAATGCATGGGCACTGAAACCATTGCCCAAACCCGCCATTGTCGCCCGAGCCACGAACCAGTAACCAGTCGGCCCGGCAACTTAGATTCCTATGGATTCTCTGGTCAACGTGCTGTCAGCGCTCGACTACGCCAGCATCTCAGAATATCTCAGACACCTTCTCACGCACGGCCTTGGCAGCACCAGCACTCCGTGCTGAGGCCAACTCTGCGGCACCGGCGGCTGGTGCACGGCTCAAGTCTCAAGCTTGGACAGCATAGGCCTGTAAGGAAATACTGGCTAAGCCAGGCATCAGCAGCTGGGAGGCCCCGGCAGTTCCGTGGGATTCGGGCTGTTCGAGTTGTGAAGCTTCTCGCATGTCGAAATCGCCTGCATCTCAAGCTTCACACCAGGAGACAAGATGTGTCTAGGACGAACCTGATCTGAGCACTTGGGGTTCCACTTGCTGTTGAAATGTCGCCATTGCTGTGCAACAGAGGATCCTGCCACCAAGCGGCTGCCCTGCTAGATTCCGAATGGCGTCGGCAACTTCGGGTTTCGGTAGCAACCACTTTAGGAGCCACCCGTCAACACGCCACACAAAGCGGTAACAGCTCATGTCTCAAGCGAATTCGCATGCCATGATGCGGCCCCATGAAGTGTCTGAACCGAGGAGCAACTTTGTCAAGACTTGAGACGGCTCAATTGTTTGAAGCTTGAGGACCACCCGAAAGCTTTAGATCGATGGCAGCGATGCCAGACGGGGACACGGCCCCAGCTTCTGCAAAGCATCCTCAGACGGCCTCACTCAATTCACTTACATTGCTAAGCTGCTACACCACCAGACTGGTCTCACAATTGAGGTTGTCAAGCTCCTGGACTTCCGGATGTGCACCACCGGTTCAGCAGCAACATGTCTAATTGAGTGCTGATGTGACATGGCAAACAGCCCTGTGTGCAATCAGGTTGTGTACAGTTTGCAGCTTAGCAATGGGAAAGAGTGCTGGGTGGTGGCACGACGGTACAGTGAGTTTCTCAGGCCATCAGCCACGTGCATGCCTCGCCTTACGACCAACTTGTCATGTCTGACAGTCTCGGGCCCCTGACAGATGCCACGTGAAGCTCCTTGAGCTCTTTGACCGCAAGCAGCTGCCTCCGTTCCCACCGAAGGAGCCGGGAAGCTCAAGCTCGCAAGGCTGGAGCTCACTAGCCTATTTCTCGGTTGCAGCTTCACTTACTGGATTGAATCTCGAACTTTTTCCGACTTTCCGACGCCGTAGAGGGTAGCAGGCACCAGACTCGGAGATGTTGCCGAGTCGTAACCACTGCCCTTCAGCCATGACGATGCTCGGTACTGGGCTTCGAAGGTTGCGATAAGCTGGGTCGCAAGCCTGCATCTGCTCCGCCGAGTGAGTTGTCACGCCAAGAATTCAAAAAAGATAAGCGTCTTCCTGAGTGAGGTTTCTGGAAAGCCACGAAAAAACCAAGAATCGACCATGCTCCGGCCGCCGTGTCCAAACCCAAAGCGCCGCCTCCGCCGCGTTGACATGGTGGAAGCGCGCACATACATATACATATGTATATATATACACAAAATACACAATACATATATTACTATTAATTTGTATATTCTACATATATTAATATATATGTATATGTATGGAGAGACAAAGACAGACACACTGACACAAAGACACAGAGACAGACAGAGGCACGTGGGCACGTACGAACAAACACACTAATGTGTGTATATATATATATACATGCACACAGATGTGCACATGCTTGTTTTCTCTTGCTATGGTGCAGACAGCATGCCGAAGAGAAGTCGTGCCTACTGGCAGCACGACCTCAGTGAGGAGGTGATCTAACCCTGACAGGAGCCCTTCTGGCAGAAAGTTTTCGGTGGAGATGGAACGCGGAGTGACTGGATGGAAGAGCGCTATGGCAAGCTTTTTGGACTGCGCCCTGGGTGAGCACAAGATGTGTGTATTTCAGGGCATCGAACACTCTTTTAGCAGGATATCTCGTGGGACTCCTGGACATGGAAGGACTGCGCGAGTAACTTGTCAGAGCTTATGAGCCTGTGACACGCACATATGCCTGCTGTCCTTCTCCGCGAGAGTTTCTACCCAACTGTCGCAGTTGTTTGAAGAGTCACACCCTGTTGGAGATGCCAAGCAGTCGGAGGACGAAGGAATTGGGCAGCCAGTCGCCAATAGCGGCTTCTCCCTTGTTCCAAAGATGGCCAGCACCTACATGTTGGATGCGAGCAGAATACGTGTTTCTGTTGTTCGGTTGGATATTAGTCGATCTAGACCGCACAATGTACTTGACATGTTTCTCTCGACTCTACTGAGGTTTCCTTCGATTTTTGTGTGAATTCCTCTTGTCAGTGTGCCGGTGGTCCCACGTGGTGCTGTGTATACCAACTGTCCGCTCGCGGAGTTCGATCAAGCTAAGCCGCAAAGCCTACATGTTTCATTCGCCTCACATCTTTCAAGGATGCGAGGATGCATGCGAGCACCACAGAAGACCTTGTATGAGTTGCACGGAAATGACAGTCAAAGCGCGAGTGATGACTGATGGTCAAGTTGACCCAGTGTATCCTATTGTCACGGCTTTTGTGCCCGCCTCGGCAATTGGGCTCGGCAGCACACAGGAGCAGAACGAGTTACACGGATGTCGTTGTTTCGGGTTGGCCTGGCCGCATATGAACCGACGGGCTCTCCCGTTGAAAAGCCCACTTCCGTTGGCAATTTCTCACACTCTCGTTGGCTTGACGGTCTGACGATGCAGCCCCCTGGTAGTGAGTGTGGCGGTATCTGCTTTTGGCAGGAGTTCTCAACAGCGAGGCCCTCTTAGATTTTCTCAATGCTCCTCGCGCTCGGACATCCCCAAACTGGGAAGTGGATGCCTCGACGGCCACCGCCATTATTTGCAGTGTGCCCCTGCTGTGATAGAGGGCATTCTCTGCGTGAACTCACGGAGATCCGGAAGCACGATAGCAATATGGCAGGGCTAGTAGTAGGCTTCAGGAAAAGCGTGCGCCCGAGGTTCGAGTTCGCCTCACGGGTGATCCTGGTGGCGTTGAGGTCTTTCATTTGTCGTATGCCTTGCGGCCTGAGTCCGTCCTTGATGCACTACATTTCATAAGCAGAATCTCTGCAGGTTGTGATACGCGCTGATGCGCCCACTCGATGTTCCGCGAGAGGCTTACGTGCTTTGAGTGCGCCGAGACTTTCAGCAGTCGCTCTAGCAAGTACCTTCTCCAGCACGCCAGAAAGATGTTGCCTGACAACCAGGTGCGATTGGCGCTTCGACCATTCCAGAGCAGCGAGCACCTGGAAGATGCGCCGTATCCGGCTCAGCCAAGCCTGGAGTCTACCGATCTGTGGGACCCTGGGTTGCGATATAAGGGCGCTCGAAAAGGAGTTTCTTGAAACATGGCCTGCTGAGGAAAGGCTACTTGAGTTGGACTTGGATCCGTCGAAGAGTCAAGAGCTAACCCATCGCTTCGATTTAGATCCTGGCTCACTGTGGCAGGCCGCAGTGTAGAGCATTCGCAAGCGTAGCCTGACCTTGAGCGCCTTGACTTGGAGGTTGCCGCTGTGGGTGTTGCTCAAGATGGCACAACTGGAAATCCAGTGTGCATTCAGATTCGCGCGCCAACTGAAGCTGATTTGGAGTGCGTGCCCAAGGCCGGAATGGACCTGCGATACGTATGATGTGGGTCGGCAACGATGGTCAAGTCTGCATCGCACGCGCAGGTTCCAACTACCGGTGAGGGCCAACCTGCAACGGAAGCACATGTGACCAAGCTCCTCGATGGACCAGGCATTGTCGCGTGGTCGCCCACGCAACGCATGAAAACCCTGCAGACGCTACTTGACCCGCTTGCTGCCAGGCACTGGAAAGCTTTCGGACAACGATGGCAGCATCAGTGAAGGCAGGTCGTGGACCCGTGGAGTCGTGCATGGGTCTGCCATGCCAACAAGTCCAAACCATGGCTTGCACAGGCGACGAGGAGATGGAAGAGGTGGTTGAACACACAGCAGATGGGCAGGCTGCGACATAGCCTAACAGCCGCATAGGTCAGCCGCCAGTGCAGTGCTGACAAGTTCGCATTTCGATTCAAGGCTAGGTGTTCCTGACAGGCTTCCATGTCAGAGTGGGTGCGATTTTGTTACAGGCGGTGACGATCCGACGAAAGCGAAGTCACATTTCGCCTGCCCACAAGGAAGGGTTTGGGCAGTTCGCAATTTTAGCGCGCCTGGCGCAATATACGGAGCCAGTCACCTTCTGCTGCGTCGAATGAGAATGCAGGTGATCTCGTTTCAAGGGAGCGTGGCTGTGGAGTATGTACCGCGGCCGAACTTCCAGCGCCGTAGACTGTCAATACTGTGGGGTCGGAGAAGCCAGCCTTTCTCCATGCATGCTTTGGAATCCGCTGGAAGCTTGTCGATTCAACGTCTCGAGGCCAGGAAAATCGAAGAGAAGCAGCGCTTGGCCGCAGAGAAGACGCCACATCGTTGGGAGGAGCGAGATGGTCAGAGGCGATCCGTTCCCGTCGATCGCTTGGAGGCGAAGGCAAGGTTCTGTGTCTGCGCACAAGCGTGGGTGAAGGCGAGTGAGTGTGTGGACAACCATATTTCTCAAGTTTGCAGAAAACACGGCCTGCCACGATGCACTGATACCTGCAATTGAGTTCCTTGGTGCCTCCAAGCTCCACGGTTCTGATCAAAAGAAGCCTCCGCATGACCCACATGTTCGGGTTGTGAGTTTATTTGTGGAAGAAGAACCTGCAATACTTTAACCGCAGCATCTTGCTCCGTAACTGTATCCTCTGCAGTGGCCGGAAAACCGAGGCTTTGAGTCAAGAGTCTAGAAGCGAGGCCGACCGCATGTGGCTTGGCCTGCGGTCTGCACATCACCGGGCAATCATACCAGTAGCAGTTCAATTCCAAGACCCGGCATTGCACGCAGCTAGCGCACACCACAAGAAGCGTTTGGCATGTTTGGTTGGCCGCCACAGATGCAAAAAACGATGGCCGATGTTTGCGGTTGGTTGCCCGTGCCTGCGATTCAACTTCTGGGACCGTGGCTGATGCTTGGGGCTGGCGGCTGGCCGCCCAAGATGCAAACACTTGTTGGCATCTCGGACAGCCAACCCCAAACATCGGCCACGGCAGTGCCGGATGTGGAATAAATTTGTATATCTGTGTAAAAATTATTTGTCAAAGGCCGACGTTTGGTGCTGGCTGCCTGAGATGTTTTTTTGCGTCTGGGGCAGCCAACCCTGCATGCCAGCCGGGTCCCAGCACGA